ATAAAGTTAAGTACACAACTGGTTGGTTCCACTGTCTTCTATTGGGATTTGTTGTTAGCTGCTGTCAAGTGAGCCCCTGACACATGGTGACTTCATACACAACTGACAAAATACCCCCAGTTCTGTGCCATTGCTATCATTGGTTGCAAATAGAACTATTGTGATTCATAGGATTTTCACTTGCTGATTTTTGGAAGTAGACCACAGGGCTTTCTTCCTAGTCTATCTTAGTCTGGAAATTCTGAAACATACCGACCATCACTGACAGATGGCTGGTGGTTATGCATGAGGTACATTGAGCCTGAGTCTCCTTCATGGAAGTAAGAATTCTTCCACTGAACCAGTGCCCTCTGTATTGTCAGTAATTTTTTTCATTTGCTGATTTAGTGTTTGAATATTGTGGTTTAGTCTTCTTTCTCTAGTTCTTCTAGACTCGGAATGGAATTTCTAGACACCTGGAGTCATCACAGTGTCTTATATACCCAGATTAGATCACTAATGTTTGTATATAACTTAGGACAGGGTTCCTTCCCTGTGAATCAGTTGTAAGTTGGTTCTGACGTAAGTTGAATATCCCCCCCTTTTTTTTCAGTATTGCCTTTTATTATTAGTATCTTTATAAATCTGATCTTCATTTGGCTTTTGGGGGTTGGGAACATTACATATAAACTCATAGATATATTTTAATACATACAGAAAAGTGTATACAAATCGTGAAAATTTACCCCGACAATAAAGAAGAATTGGACGATGTTGGCATTTTGTCAGTTGTAGTAATAACTCTACCTGTGGAAGGTTCTGTATCATCTGGGTTATGTCTGGGAAAGAGGATTGTGTTTCTAATTAGAAAATTAGTGAGAGTTGTCTGTATGGTTCTTTTTTTTTTTCCTTCATGTATTTCAGGGAACAGCTTAGTGCTTCCTGAATCTGCCTATTGACTTTAGCAAAGCAATCAGCATTTGGGTACATGTTTTCAAGCAACTGAAGCTCCTTATATATACTTTGTTGTTGTTGTTGTTGTTATGTGCCGTCAAGTCGGCCCCGACTCATAGCGACCCCTCCTTGGGTTTCCGAGGCAGTATCACTACGGAAGTAGGATGAAAACTAAATCTACATGGCCGTGTTTTCAATGTTGTTGTTATGTGCCGTCGAGTTGGCCCCGACTCATAGCGACCCCTCCTTGGGTTTCTGAGGCAGTATCACTACGGAAGTAGGATTGCCCAACCTTCCTTCCGAGGAGCGGCTGGGGAGTTTGAACCGCCAGCCTTCTGGTTAGCAGTCAAGTGTTTTAGCCACTATGCTACTATGAGTCGGGTCCGACTCGACGGCATATAACAACAACAACAACAAGTGTTTTCAATAGTAAATCAAAATTGAGCATCTGGGAGTGAACATCTGAAAATGATAACATCCAACATATTACACACTGCTACACTGCTCTGGTAGTGTAGTGCCTAAGGCACTTGACTGCTAACCAGAAGACTGGTGGTTCAAACCCACCAGCCACTCCTCGGAAGGAAGATGGGGCAATCTACTTCCGTAGTGATACTGCCTCAGAAACCCAAGGAGGGCTTGCTATGAGTCGGGTCGGACTTGATGGCACATAACAACACCAACAACACTGCATGTCATAGATATTACTAATGATAAGGAGTACAAAAAAAAAAAAGATGGTCCTAAGTATGGTTCATCATAACTTGAATTTCTCCTAAGTCAAGGACTACTTGGTATATCAAATTCCTGAATATTCAGTTAGGTTATTTATATATCTTTGTATTTTCCCTGTATTTTTATGTTTTTTCTTTGAAGATGGGTAACCCTAACTGCTATTGGGGCTAATGAGCTGCAAGTTTTAATTTATTACATTTTTCCTGATTTAAAATATGTCAGGTAGTGGTTAAGAGAGTGGCCTCTGGAGCCATTTGCCTAGGTGTTATTACCCGTGTGACCTTGGGCAACTTTATCTCTCTGGGTCCATGTTTTCTTATCTCTAAAGGGAGGATTATAACCTTGCTCATCTCATAGATTATTATGAAGGTTACATGAAAATATTCAAGTTATAAATTTGCTACTGTTTTCTTTAAAGCAGTTATGCTCAACTAGGGGTGATTTTCTCTCTTAGGTGGCATTTGGTATTGTCTGAAGATATTTTTGGTTTTCTCAGCTTGAGGAATGCTACTGGCATTTAGTGAGTAGAGACCAGGGGTGCTGGATAAACAACCTACAATGCACAGCTCCCCACAACAATGAATTATCTGGCCCAGAAAGTCAATAGTGCAAAGATTGATACACCCTGCTATACAAAAATCATTATTTGGTAATGATTACTTTAAGAAAGATTAAATAAATAAATCACAAAATCAACTTTTCATTATTGTGAACTATTTTATTTCCCAAAGAAAACCAGATTTGTTGGACCTTCTAGCAATGTAGTCTTCTAGAAGAGTTTAATGATCAATCTTTGGTGCTAACAAGGACTTTTAGATTCTTAAGAGTTTGCTTCTAATAGGGTTAACTCATAGGGTGAGCCTCTTTGAGGTCCAGTTGGCTTTATTACATGGGCATTGACTGTAATCTCAATATTGGTCAACTATCTCTGTGACAAATATGTGACACTAATCACTTGGGGAAACAGACGGGAAATCAAAGTGAATAAGAGTTAAGTGTACAGCTGCTAACTGAAATGTTGGTGATTTGAATCCATCGAGAGGAGCCTTGGAAGAAAGATTTGGCGATGAACTTCTGAAAGATCCCTGTCATTGAAAACCTCATGGAAACACATGGGATCTCCCTGAGTTAGAATTGGCTTGCAGGTGACTTGTTTATTTTTTTTAGTGATGCTGTTACTTGAGATAGAGAACCCAGAAGTAAAAGCGTATTGGAAAATAGAAGTTCTGTGTTGGATATGTTGATTGATTTGGTGTCTGCGAGACATAAATGTTGACATACCCAATGGATACTTGAAGTATGGAAGCAGAATTTGGGGGAAGGGTTAGGGATGTATTAGAAATTCCTACATTGAGATGATGATAGTTGATACTGTGGGAGAGAACATAATGTAGAATGAATAGAGATCTGAGGAAAAATACTAACAAAGAGTAGCATTTAGAGATACACTGGGGGAAAAAAAAAGCCCAGTGTACTGACACTGAAAGCAAAGAAGCATCGGCACCTGTCAAAATTCTACCTATTTGTGGAGATCCATCTTAGAAGGTTCAGGGAAGTCTTCCTGACAGTATCACCTATCTTCTTTTAATCATTCCCTTATATGTATTTCTATACTACTTTCTTCTTCCTATCATCTATATAGCATTCACTACCCATTGCTGTGTAGGAGCTCTGGTAGCATAGTGGCTCAGGCACTTGACTGCTAACCAGAAGGCTGGCGGTTCAAACCCACCAGCCACTCCTTGGAAGGAAGATGGGGCAATCTACTTCCGTAGTGATACTGCCTAGGAAACCCAAGGAGGGGTCGCTATGAGTCGGGGCCGACTCGACGGCACATAACAACAACAACAACAACAACCCATTGCTGTTGAGTTATTCTGATGCATAGTGATTCTGTAGAACAGAATGGAATTCCCCCATAGGGTTTCCAGGGGTATAAATCTTTGCAGAAGCAGATTGCCTCATCTTTCTTCTGCTGAGTGAGTGGGTTCAAGCCACAGACCTTTTGGTTAGCAGCTGAGTGTTTAACCACTGTGCCATCAGTATTTCTTTGCATTTGCCACACTGACATTTTGGTTTGTTATGTATGTATCTACTTTTTAATAAAAATTTTATGTTCCTTGAAGGCATGTATCAGGTCTTATGCATCAGTTTTCTTGCTTGTATTTGGCATAATGCTTAATAACAATTTGTTTAATTGAATTGAAATAAGTGATGGTCAGTTTCAGAGCATTTAAGGAGGTAGAGGAAGATAAGTGAGAGGAGGTTTAGATTTATTATCACCAGCTTTAGGGAAAACATTATCTCTAAATGGTGGGGAATGAGTGGAGAGTGTTCTGTAGTTTTCCTTCTGTCATGTTAGTCTTGCGCTTTCTCATCCCTTACTTAGTCCCTAATTTTGTTTCTCTTAAATTTTGTTCTTTCCATGTACTGTGTCTTCATGATGGAAAAGTATTGTTTTTCCGTGATTTGTAAGAATGTTATTCTTCTTCCAAATTTGCCTCATAGCCCTTCTCCATGGACCTTCTGCCCACCCACTCTTTGCCAAACTTCTGTGGCACTTTGTATCACCTTACTAACTCTTAATCTTTCTTCAATATCTGCACCTATATCTTGAATCTATCAATGATTTATGCTCTTTTGTAATTCCTATTATATTACTAGCGTGCTCAATAAATGCTTAGATTTCATATCTTGATTTCTAAATATAATTGTTAAATTATAGCAGCGATTTAAAAAATTTTAATCTAGAAACCATTCTTTAAATTCAGTTCATAAGAAACCCAAATATTTTCAAAAATTTGTTTTTCAGATCTTTTTTTCATGAGCTCCAGGAGATCAGAAATCATTAACTTTAATTCACTCTTTTCATTCTCAGCATGGTTTTTGTCATACTGTAGGCATGTTTGAATAACTGAATAAATTTCTCTGGTTTCTCTTACCAATATTCTCTAGTATTTAGGCTGATTATAAAATCTGTAGTGTAGTTTTTTAAACAGCATCTGATTTTTATTTGAATTGCAATTTATTTTTTCTATTTAAGTATATTTTTCACATTTTCAGTTTAAAACTGTTTTTAAATCATCACAAACATTTTATCTCATTATCCATGTGGTGATTTCTTGGTGTATATTTTACCCATTACACTATCAGGGAATTAAAATGTCTTCATTTCTGTTCTGAAAAATGCATTTTTATAGACGAGCTAGTCAAATACCAGAGTATTTATATTAATATTTAAATACATTGTATCATTCAGTAGCTTTCATGTAGGAGCTAATTTATATGGGAAAAGTTGGTTGGATTAAACAAAATAGCCTTTCTCTTTCCAGATTGCAGCAATTCTCCGGAAACGAAAATTAGACTATTATTTACACAAACTGCTTCCTGAGATCCTACAATCTGCTTCATTTCTGACTGCTAATGGGGCCTTGTATATGGCTTTCTTTTGCATTTTAAGGTTGGTACTTATAATCACCATTGTAGGTTGATACAAATTTCTTTGTTAAAACTGAAACAAACAGATGTTTACATAAATATTGTGCAGATCACTACCTCTATTTTTTTTTCCCTCTGTGAAATGACATTTATATTAAAGAAAGTTTACAAAATCATGGCCTAGTCTCTTGACCCAAAAGTGCAGTGCAGGATAAGCTGTTGTTACTGTTTGGTGATCTTAGTGACCCTGTGTACAGCAGAATGAAACACTGCCCTGTCCTGCGCCACCTCCAGTGATTACCGCCACCTCCAGTGATTACCGTGCTTGAGCCCGTTGTTGGAGCCTCTGTGTCAGCCCATCTCATTTAGGGATTAGAGAGCAGATTAGATAGCAGGTCTGTTTCAGTGTATCACACATTTTCTGAGGCCTGCTATAATTAGCAAGTTCTTATTTCTCCACTTTTCAATCTCATAGATAGTAACATTAAAGCAGCTGACCACTCTATATGCAGTTAACATACTACAAGAGGAGTATAAAATGCACTTTAATATATAAAACATAACTCCTTGTATATCCTGTTGTTGAAACTTTTGGTCCTTACATTACGTGTGCCATATACTTCATGCAATTTGTAATAGAGATGCAATTAGAGTTTACTTTTTGAGTGCTGTAATGTAATTAACATGCTTATTAGACGGCACATAACAACAACAACATTAGATATTTCCTCTCTTTTTATCTTTTCTCTACTGATTGTTGAAAACCCAAACTATTTTTTTTAATCTGTCAAGTTAAAATATTAACTTTATCTTATTAAATGTTACATAGCAGCAGTTCAGTTATTTAAAATATAGTAAGCTGATGGAAGCAAATGAGTTAAGTAATGTATAGATCATAGTAAAGTGATTATAGTTATTGTTTCATAAGTTTATGATCCTCCCTTTCATCTTCATATTAGTGTTACTTTATTAGTGTTGTCCAGTTTTATATTTTAACTGCCATTAAAAATAGAATTTTCACGTATCTTTCATAATTTTCTGCAGAGGATTAATATTTATAAAATTTTAGATTATGCAGAAAATAATTGATAAGGTTTTTTTATGTTACTGAGAAAATAATGCCTCTAAATTGACTTGAAAACCTGTGTAACAAAGTTTACCATGTGGTCTCTGGAAAGTTTCTAAAACTTGTTAAAATTCTAAAAGTAAAATTATAACAACTAGGTTTTAAAAGAATTATAATAGTAACTAGCTATTATAGAATATTTTATTATGTTCTATGGACCTGTTTGGTTAAGATGTAGAAGCATAAAATATATATAATTTAGGTAGCATTATGTTCCTCCAGTAATTGATTGAGTCCATTTTTCCCTTAATTTTTACATTTAAAAACATGTTAAAGTTCATTGTAGATTTTATATCAGTCTTTGCAGGCCAAAGGTTTTTGATATTTACTTTAGAAATATCCAAATTATGTTTCCTCAATAACTTATCTAATAGTTGAGCTTCAATTTAAAATTTTTATCTGTGACTCTTGATGTGTATTGGTGCATGTGTGACACACACAGAAACATACACCCTTCCTGTATTTTTACACAAATAACATGTGCATTGTACAGTTTTTTTGCAAACTGTGCAAATCCCTTGCATGCTAGTTTTCCATGCATGCTGTGATAGGGGAAAATAAACCCCAGATTCAGACAGGCTCAATGGAGACACCTTTATTAAGTCTTGCGCAGGTGAAAGACAAAACAAAGGCAGTCATCCCGGATGAGGGAAACCATCAGCATGAGAAAGCTGAATAGAGTCCTCTGAGTCATGGCCGTGTGGCTAACTAGATATGATTTTAAATCATCACAAAATCATGATTGATGGTAGGTAGATTTGCCACTGTTGGAGGTGGGACAATAGAAACAGGGAAAAGACCATGATTGGGATTTGAAGATAGGAAAGGGTTACAGGATTGGTTCTGGGCCTTGACTACCTGGCTAGATGGTAGTCCAGATAATCCATGACTCATGACCATTGCAGCCTGAGTCTTAGCCACAAGGTGGCTATCGAACAATATCAACACCTCAACCTTAATTTAAATAGGAAAGGATTCTCTTGGGCAGGTTCCCACATTCCTTTATATGTGGGCATAATCTACTTTCATCCATACTCTTCCTGAAGGCAAACTGCCCCTCAGTAGGTTTGTCTTAGAACTTGTCTGTGCATAGCCATAATGCTGGTTTAATGGTCAGAAAGAGTAAATGGCATCTGAAATTTATGTCAGGCCTCAAACTGGAGTTAGGGCTCCCACTGTGGACCGCAGTCTTCACAACCCCAAATGCTTTAGAATTTCAGCCCTGGTATAGCACTATGCACGTGATATATGTGGGTACATTAGGTGTGTGGGCGTATTTTATGTGAAAAATACAATCTTTACCTATAAAGCTTTATTCAGCAATTGACCAACTTTGTTTAGCTAATTTCTTACAATATTTACATGTGAGCTCTGGTGGCGTAGTGGCTAAGGCATTTGACTGCTAACCAAAAGGCTGGTGGTTCAAACCCACCAGCCACTCCTCAGAAGAGAGACTAGGCAATCTACTTCCATGGAGATACCACTTCAGAAATCCAAGGAGGGGTCACTGTGAGTCGGATCTGACTCGATGGCAGTGAAGTTTGGGGAGCTCTGGTGGCATAGTGTCTAAGGCACCTGACTGCTAACCAGAAGGCTGGCAGTTCAAACGCACCAGCCACTCCTCAGAAGGAAGATTAGGCAATCTACTTCCATAGAGATATCGCCGTGGAAGCCCAAGGAGGGGTCACTGTGAGGGAATCGACTAGATGGCAGTAAGAAGTAAATAGTAGTAGTAGTAGTTCTCCTTTTCTTAGGAACATATTGTCTTTGAAAGGAAGAAAAAAATCTTCCTAACATCTCCAATTTACTTTTTGAAAATTCATGCCGCTAAAACAATATAAAACAAAAAAATCAAGCAGCTAATGGCCATTTATAATGTGTGAGGCACTCTGCAGGCTCCTACCTTTAGGGAACATACTCTAGTAAATGAAAATACGTATAACTAAAAAATATAAAATACTTTAAAGTAAGTGCTATGAGAAAAAGTTACCCAGTATAGAAACGAAGAGGAAACATATGTTGAATGTCTGTCATGTGTTAAAAATCAGTGATAATAGTAATAACAATTGTAATAGCAGACTACATATTCTGAGTGCTTACTATATGTCATGCATGGTGCTAGGAAATAACTCATATAGTCCTCATAACAGCTGTATGAAATAGTATATTACTGTTTCCAGTTGATAGATAAGGAAACTAAGAACACAGAGGGTTTGTACAGTGAGCAGTGGTGGATCTAGGCAATTTCTAAATGTATATGACTGACTTAATTTCTGGAAGGAGAGATACTAGTTAGTTTGCTGTTGTAGTAGCCTGCAAAAGGGGCAGGGAGGCCGTATCTTTTGACCTCCTCTAACCCTGCAAGAGAAGGACAGAATCACTATTGACAGCCCAAGGCCTATGCCTGTGAGGCCAGACATGCTGCCTCCCTCCAACCCTTTTACTAACTTTGTCACCAACCGTTCCTGCTCTGCTGGGTTCAGTAATTCGCTGCAGTGGCCACACAGAACTCACAGATTATGGGGTTTATTAGGGAAGCAACAGGCTACAATTCAAGTTCAGGAACATGCTCAGTCTTGCACAGCCAGCTGTCTCACTCAGTAGCCAGCAGTCTCTCTCAGTAGCACTTGTCTCTAGCATCTGTCTCTCTACAGCAAGTGTCTCTAGCGTCTTTCTCTCTCAGCAAGTGCATCTCTCAGTCTCTCAGCCGGCAGTGAGAGATTCCTTCTGCCTCTAGGAGGGCTCCTTTTGAGCCCGGTAGAGTGGCCAAACTCAACCAATCCCAACATCAGAATTCTACGCACTTGAGAGAGAGTGAGCTTCCCAGAAGATTGCTTCCTGCTGCTCCAATAGAAATACATCAGGTGGATAACTTTAACAATCAGTTACTTATGGCAATGGAGGTGTTACAAAAACTATGACTAGAAAAACCATATCATATAATTCCTGCAACGCATAACCTGAATGGGAAATGCTGAGGGACTTAACTGAGGCAGAGGCAGTAGAGTAGAGAGAAATTTGAGAATAAATTCCATATGGAATAACTAAAGGAAATGTTTTGATATATAGGGTAAGAGAGAAGGAGAAGTTGAGAATGATTCTAAGTGTCAAACATTGGTGAATAGGTAATTGTTGATGCCATTAACCCAGGAAAATAGAGGAGGAATAACAAGTTTATGGGGATGGGGGACAAAAATAATGAGTTCAGTTTTGGGTGTGTTCTATTTAAGGTGTTGTGGGACCTTTAGGTAGAAGGTGGACTGAGAAGGGGCACTTCCCTTCATAAAAACTGAAGTGACCAACTAGGATTTTCATGTAATACTCCAAATTTGAATTTCAGGAAGATACTTGGAAAATTCTACTCATGGAGTCCTGGTTTTGGTGCCGCTTTGCCAGCATCTTATGTGGCCATTCTAATTGAAAGGAAAAGCAGGTAAAATTTTATATGTCTACATATTTCGTAGAACTAGTTTACTGTCTTCTACTCCAAGTAGAAATTACTTTTTGGTTTTTATTATAGGTTGGGGTGAGAAATATTTGCAGATACATATTTCAATCTTCTAAATGTTTGATTGAAAATTTAATTTTACACTGATGTTATTTTTATTTATTAAGCCTATAGAAAATATAAATATTGACATTGTAGAGCAGTAATACCCATTAGTATCTGTTTATTAAAAATTTGTAAACTTCTCTGATGTGCCTAACTAAAACATAGTTTACTAAAATTCTAAATAAGGCTTGTCCCCATAATCATAATACCATTATCACACTTTAGAAAATTAACAGTTGTTTTTTGTTATCATCTTAATCTGTACTTTGCTTCAAGCTCGTAGAGTGATTAATTGATCTTTTTAATTCATATTTACTTTTAAAGAATCTTCTCATTAAAATTTCTTTTGATTGTACTCTACATGAAAATGTTCTTTGTGAATTTATAAGATGTCAGGTAAATAGTTGAAGTTCAAGCTTTTGTGTAAAAGAAAATTTTCATCCCATGAATAATCATTTTTATTGCTAAGAACTACTTGATTCCATTTTTAACCCAGAGAATTGAGATAGAGTCATGTATTAAAAAATTTTCAGTTTATTATAATCATTTATCCCCTGTTAAGAGTGTGAATAGATCTTATCAGGTAACCAAATACTTAATTCACCTGAAGCCAATCTTAATTCACTGTTACAAATGTAATGTATGGAAACTTTTGTGGTTCTTTGATTATATCACGATACTTTTGGATTATTGGAATTACAAAATTCAAAGGAGTGATGCATGTTGTAACCCCAGCATCATCAAATCAGTAGGTTATTCCACCTGAGGAGAACTATATAGTAATAGTACAAGGAGCTGTGCTGTCTGGCTTAGGATCCTGGCTTTGCTACTTACTGTGTGACCTCTGTGGCTTTATTCCTTACCAGAAAAATGGAAATACTGATAATACCTACTCAGATGGTCGTTAGAAGAATTAAATGAGCACATATATATATATATATATATATATATATATATATATATGTAAATGCTTGGAACAGTGTCTAGCACATTTAAGTGTTACGTATTACCATTGTGGTATTTTGTCCCTAAGTAATGGCAGAGTTACTCTGTTGATTTTAACTTTTCCTGATCATTTTCAAAACATGAATATTATATTACTCACACTGAAACTTTAAATATATTTTTAAATTAAGTGTGCTATTCCATTGTTTTTAATACTTGGCAATAAGATACCATTTTTGAAGTTACCTGCTTTATTTTCAGCAGAGAATATCATCTACTGTCAACATTTGTTGACATTTTGCCATTTTTACTTGTATGTGTATGCATGTATGGTTGTATATGTGTGTATATGTTTCTCTGTGTGTGTTCTATGTGGAAATAAGTTGTAGGTCTTATGGCACTTTACCCTAAATACTTCAGCATGCATGGACTAAAATAAGGGTAATTTCCTATATAGCTTTTCACCATTATCACAATGATTCTCTAATATCATACAATCTATATTGTCCTAAGAGAGCTTTCATACCTGTTTTCTAAAAGTAGAATCTAGCCAAAGTTCATGTGTGTTGTTGTATTTCCATATTCTCTTTTAATCTAAGACAGTCTCCCAATATTTTCTGCATGGCATTGATATGTTAAAGAGACCAGCCCAGTTGTCTTGTATGCAGCACATTTCTTATTTTGTGTGAATTGCTTCCTCATGCAGTTGTTTAATTCATTCATTTATCTTGTGTATCTCCTGTACACTTGAAGTGAGATCTAAAGGCTTGATCAGATTCGTATTAAATATTCTTGATAAGAATATACAGACATGTGTTGCTTAAAGTCCATGACGTGTTCTGTGAAATAGGGTATTATGTGATTTGGACATCCCTGGATTATAGACAGTCCCCAGATTGAATGAGTTCTATTCCTAAATCTGTCTTTAAGTTGAATTTGTATGTAAGTTGGAACATTTAGGTATAGTTTGTATCTAACATCAGTTAGTCAAATGCTTGTCTTTGTATATGACTCCAGACTCACTGCCTCAAGTCGATTCTGACTCATAGAGATCCCCTTTGGGTTTCCGAGGTGGTAAATCTTTATGGAAGTAGATTGCCCAGTCTTCCTTTCACGGAGCGGCTGGTGGGTTTGAACTGCCAGCCTTCTGGTTAGCAGTCAAATGCCTTAGCGACTATGCCACTAGGGCTCCTTTTCCTAGTATATGTTGTTGTTATGTGCCGTCAAGTCGGACCTGACTCATAGCAACCCCTCCTTGAGTTTCTGAGGCAGTATCACTACGGAAGTAGATTGCCCCATCTTCTTTCTGAGGAGTGGCTGGTGAGTTTGAACTGCCACCCTTCTGGTTAGCAGTCAAGTGCTTTAGGCACTACACCACCAGAGCTCCTTTTCTAGTATATAGTGTACCTTTTGTTGTTGTTGTAATGTGCCGTCAAGTCGGACCCTCCTTGGGTTTCTGAGGCAGTATCACTACGGAAGTAGATTGCCCCATCTCCTTACCTTTAAATGTATTTAAAAAACACTAAAACATCTTCAACATAATAATTCAGTAATAATAATGTTTTGATACACATAACAACATAGCATTTCCTATTACAAACCATTGTATATACTTTGAATTTATAGTACAATAAGCTTTTACAGGGGTTGGGACCACAGATGTATATGTGGTTAGACATTGAGCATTATGTGGCATGTGACTCTACTACTTAATAGATGATACTGAAGCTATCAGGAGGTCTGTAGGTTAATGGTTCCAAGTTTGAATGCTTGATTAATGTAATAGTAACCAGATCTTTTTAATAAATCTATTACTTGTGGTAAATTAGATCAATGGAATTTCCTGTATTTACAAACCTTGCTTTGCTAGAATAAATCTCACTACATCATGACATTATTTTTTTTAGTGTCTTACTGGATTTTGGTATTGATGTTTTATTTAGGGTTTCTGCATAAATATTTGTGAGCCTCATGAGTTGCTTTTTTTGTGTGTATGTATTTATTAGGTTTGGGTGTGAGTGTCATAGTCATATTTACTTCATAACATAAATTGGGAGTTTTCTTCTTGCTTCGGAATAGTTTAAGTAGCAGTGAGTTAATTTGCTGGCCTTTTAATGTTTGATTAGTTCCTCTATGAAACTTCCTGGGCCTGTTGACTTTTTTAGGTGCTAACTCTTAGAAAAAGTTATCAGTAATATCCTTTATGGACTTTGGTCTGTGAAAACTTTCTGTAAAGTCCCCTTTAGAGGTTTTTACCATAGGATCTGCTTTCCTTTCTTCTTTTCTGCTCCAGCACCACAAATTAAATAGGTTGTTCTTTCTCCATGGATTTATGAAGTATGTGTTATTTAGCTTTCGATTTTTTTTGGTTTCTAGGTCTCAATTTTACGTTCTTAATTAAAAAAAACATCAAGTTTTTCTTGGAAGACCAACATTAGTTCAAAACAGTAACACCAAAGTAAAATTATGTTATTGGTATGAAAAGCAATGATTAATTCAGGGACAAAGAGAAGTTTCCTGGAAGTGAGGTGATAGCATAGATTTTGTTTGCTGGTTTATTTCTTATTTCATTTTCACTTTTGATAGGTGAACTATTTAAAAAAAATTTTTTTAAAGCTTTCTGTTTTTATTTTCTTTAAGTTCGCTTTTACATTAATATTTTATTCTTAGATGTTAGTTGTTCACAGAAAATGTGAGTTATAGATTATGACCTGTTAGAAATAGTAACTGACATATTTTTAAAGACTTAATTAAAAAAAAGGGTTAAGTCTAGCTTGTTTAGCTTCTTTATTAGTGATAATACATGATTACTAAAGAAAAGTGATCCTTCCTTTGATTGCTATATAGATGAACACCTTGTAATATTAGTTCTGTTGTTTATTACATAATACTGTGAAATAGCTTTTTGGCTCTTTCTGTTGAGGGTTGTGTGTTGTATAAGAGCAACTACAAATATTAGTTGTAGTTTAATTAATTGCTTTGCTTTGGTTTTTTAATTTTGTTCAGAAACTAGTGACTTTTTTTAAATACAGGTTTTGTATTTTTTTTTTTAACTAACCTTTAAAATAGAAAAGCACATCATTTTGTGTTATCTCCATACACTATATATATGTGTCTTATTTTAAGCATGTCTGATCTGTGTTTATCTGGAATTGTGCAGAAGTTAACTTAATGGTCTGATTTTTTTTGAAAAGAGTTCTTTACTTACCACAAAATTGTATTTCTATTTCATTAAATATCAAGATCTCCTTGTAGATTATAAGTAGTTTACAAAGATTGAGGTTTCGTATATTTTAAAATTATTATGTCTACTGCCAAAAATGAAACATATTAGTATTGTCATTTTAAGAAAATTTAAGAAAAAAAACCCAAACTCACTGCCATCAAGTTGATTCTGACTCATAGCGACTCCCTTGGGTTTCTGAGGTGGTAAATCTTTACAGAAATAGATTGCCCAGTCTTTCTTCTGCAGAGTGGCTGGTGGGTTTGAACTGCCAGCCTTCTGGTTGGCAGTCACATGCCTTAGACACTATGTCTCCAGAGCTCCTTTAATGTAAGGAAAACCAAAAAAACCTAAGGCATTGCCATTGAGTCGAATCCAACTCATAGCGACTCCTTGGGTTTCCGAGGTGATATCACTATGGAAATAGATTGCCCAACCTGGCTTCTGAGGAGTGGCTGGTGGATTTGAACCACCAGCCTTCTTGTTAGCAGTCAAATGAGTTAAGTACTATGCCACCACAGCTTCTATCATAAGGAGAGGGAATTTATAATTATGCCTTTAATTCACACACACAAAAATCAATGCTAGCTGGTGGAAATAGCCAGTAGACAGCTGAAAATCTGAGTTTTGATTTAAGGGAAGATTGGTAACTAGAAATATGAAATTGGAAGTTTATTTCATAAAAGTGATCACTGTAGCTTTGTGAGTGGAT